TCAGTACATAGCATGGGGGAGTTATTTGATCAGTCAAGCTGTGAGCTTAGTTCCAGTCTCAAAACAGTTAACAGGCAATATCCATTCTATTTCATTAAGGGTTTTTTAAACATCCAGGTTGGCAGCATAACAATTAGGTGCCATTCCATCCAGTTTGACACCTAATGACTGCATAGACAAAGGCTCACCATCTTGACCTGTGATAATAGAGGGTATGATAACATACTATCTATTTCTAATATAAGGACACCCTTTAGAAGGACTATCAGATCTAAGGTGCAAGAATCCAGATGACCATTAGATGGCAGCAAATACTTTGAGTCTTCTACCTCTTTGCTGCCATCTAATGGTCATCTAGAGTCTTGCATTCCAAATCTGGTAACCCTCCCTTTGGGATCTAAAGTGATATGACATTTTACAACAGAAACCTTTTCATCTACCAGGTAAAAAAAGAGATAATGTAAACTCACAACTGAAAATGCTTGAGGGGGAGGGCTGTAATCTTGTGACATCTGGTGGACTCAAAGGGAGAACAGTGTGCATCAGATTTCCTCCTCTGAAGTTGTAGACCAGGCTCCAGTCTCAGGGAGAAATCAAATTCTATTCTTTAACTTACAATGCTACTTTTCTGAGTTCAGAAACCTATTATATTAGAAAAGCCCAAAACAAGGCTGTACGTCAAACAGGCCTGAAGAAGTTTGGATCCAAACTCTCCAAAGAGTTGGGGGAGTCTTTACATCAAATTCAGAGCTATCTCCATTATTGGAAGCTTCCAAGAGGCACAGAATTATTTTGCCCATCAACTGCCATCAGTGTACCAAAATAACATTAAAAAAAAAAAAAATTGACTCTGCCCAATCCCAAAAACGCTGCCAAGGAGAGGTTCATATCAGGTAAGCTTATCACTAATTTGGGCAAGGCATTAAAGTATATCATAAAAGTCAGCTTGAAGGATTAAATATGACTTATAGTACCTAGATATATTACAACTTGCTTCAGACTGAGTTTGGGTACCCAGCTTTGGTTATTTGAATCTCATGATGAACCGTTACTGGAGTTTGACAAGGAGGGAATGGCCCTACTGTGTGATCTGGACCTCTTACTCTTAGCAAAACTTTTGATGTGATGACCCATAATCTCTGAATTAGATTGCCACAATGAGGGCTATGGTGACACTTGCCCCCTCAAAAGGCTAAAGAGCTAAAGCCTAGGTTTAGGCTAAAGCCTACACTAAAGCCTAGTCTAGGTTAGCTAGCTAAAGCCTAAAGTCTAGGTTAAAAGGTTAAAGGCTAGGTCTCTGAAAAAGTTATTGGGAGGCTACTGCTTCAGTTTCTGACCTTCGCATTGTGTGTGTGTGTGTGTGTGTGAGAGAGAGAGAGAAGGATCCATCTTATGCTATTTAATGTCTACATAAGCATGCAGTATTGAGTGAAGTCAGAGATTTGGAAGACAGGTTTTATTAAGCTGATTCATTCTAGAATCGTTGGATAGCCTGTTATGGCTAGCATTGTGCTCTTCTCCTTGGTGCCCAGGTGGCATTTAAGGGCTTTTTATCGGCTGGGTTGACTTCTTTTCCCATTTCCCAGAGAAAATCATTGTGCTCTGAATAGGAGCTCCCATATTAAATTACTACAGTGTGCTCTAACTGGAGATGCCTTTGAAAGCTGTGGAGAATCTACAACTGGTTCTCATAGCATCACCAGAATACTTACTACTATTGATTGCAAAGAGCATAAAATACCTTTTTTTTTACATCTTAACTGGCTTTCATTCCTTTTCTGGATCCAGTTCAAAATGCTAGCTGTATCAGTACATTATTAATGCCTTTTCTTGTTTATTCAGTACTACAGATGGTTAATTGATGTATTGTACCTTTTAAATTTTTTGTTACCTATTTGCTTGATCTGTGGATTTAAAAAAACACTATGCTATAATGGAGATATTTGGCTGATTTAGACCTAAAAAAAGAGCAAATGTAGAAGTAATATAATAATATTCTCATTTATTCTCTATTACCCAGGCTAGCATTACCAGCCAGAATGGCAAGGGATCAAGATAGGCAGTTGTAGTCCCAAAGACATACCAGGAATGAGTCTTAAGCAATAAATAATGAAGCAGCCATGTGTGTTTTGCAAACGCAGGTGTTTTAATTCTTCCAGAGGTCATTTCTTGTGTGTTGTGAAGCACCTCTTTCATATCCTTTGTGCATCCCTGCATCTTTTACAGTTTGGAACGTTATATACTTAGGATTTTTTCCTCAGTGACTAGAACTGGGCAGGACCTTTATTACTTAGAGCCCGGAGTAATGGAATGGAAATGGAATGGAAAATTCAGAGGTCACAGAACAACAGGGCTAGGTTGCCGTTTGTCATGTGCATACTTAACCATCATTACACGCCTCATCAAATTCCCTTAGCTAACTAACTGAATTTCAGGCAATGTTCTGCCTTTTTTAAAATATGTCTTAATTTTTCTAGGAATGAAACATATTTGCTATCAGTGACTGCCTTCAAAGCATGCTTCTGCCCAAAAGGTCTGCACACCAGCAGAGGGCCTACTAAGAATCCCCCCCCCATCCCCATGTGAAGCAAGAAGGGCGTGTCAGTACTTTGAGGTAGGACAGATCAGGAAACAGACACTGCAAATATTCCAGGAACGCTACTTTATTGTTGTAGGGTATAACAACAGAAGCTTGAAAGCCCACCAGGAGTTCCCTCTTCCCCTTCTTATACCAAACAAAATCAAGATGGTGTTGAGTTTCTTATGCTTTCTTCTTTCCCAGGACTGAGTTTTCTCTTAATTTCCCTTATCTGCTCCTGCTTACCTTCTTCAGGGTTATCTTTGCATTCCTCTATGGTGTGCTCCCCATGATAGAATATGCTGCCCCCAGAATTGCTTCTAGTCTCGGAATCTTCCCTGTATTCTGATAGGCCCTTAAAACATTTTATTACAGCGAGTCTTCAGCTTGTAGGGTCACTGTGGACAGGGACCTGATTTAATATGGATTAGTACAGATGATTATTTCTGGCTGAGATTCTGTTATTACCTGTTTGTTATTCACTGCCCAGCATTTTTTTAAAATGAACATGGCAAGAAAAGGAATGAAGGAAGGAATGGTTGATATTATGTCCATTATTTGCACAGCACTTTTATGCAATACTGAATATATATCTTCTCTAGTATGCCATACAATGGAAAAGGTTGTTCTCCCAGTTATGTACAAAATCTGTCAGATGGCCATTTCTTCTGTAATGACATTTGCTATTATGTTATTACATTTATTATGTCAGTAGCTGTATCTCTGTTAAAAATTACTAATTTTCAGTTGCAACATGTGGCAAGATGGATGGGAGGTTGGTGGAAGATTGCAATACCACAAGGTTTGAGTTTGGAAAATAGCTTTATTTTGTAATTCTTGATTTTAAATTTTCTGCAGATTTTGAAATAGTCAGAAGCATGTTAAAAACCCTACTTAGCTGCTTGAGCAAGGCAATTGTAAAGCAATCAGCTGTTCATCATTCAGGTGAATGAGTCTCTTGCCATTCCTATGTTTGCCTACCCCACTGACTGACTGACTGACTGACTGACTTCCTTTTCTTTGGCCACCCATCTCAGACAAGTGACTCTGGGCTTTTTATGTTGGATTTTGAGGCACAGATGCTAATAATTTATTCTTGTCCATACTTTTGTCTTGATTAAAGCAAGGAAATACAGTGTTTTCTTCGTTTAAAAACCAAAGGGGGGAAAAAAGAAATGTTTTTCAAGTTCTAAGTAAGGCTTTTTGAAGAACATATTTTTACATGTGCATTCAGAATATTGGATATAATAAAATAAATTATCAGTCTTATATTAGCTATGCAGGTACACCTTCCTTTTTTCCCTATATGCTCTTCTACTACACTGGTTTGTGATTTTTATGGCTCTGGGCCTCATGCTATAGCTCTCAATACTTCCTTCCCTTATGCATTGGGGCTTACATAGCTTTAGATGTCAGCTACTGACCAGTAGGAGGCGCTGCACAACTAGTTTCATCCTCACTGGGATTTTTCTCAGCAGTTCTCTTCACTTTCCAGCCTCCTCCAGTGTTCTGAAGCCTCTCAAAGGGGTCAACATGTGAAAAAGGTCTGCTTGATTTAAGCTGCTGAATCCTGTTCAACTATTGTAGATTAGCACCTCATGATGGATTTCAGAAGGATTTTTGTGTATACTGTACACAAAGTCAAAGTGTGAATTTGCTGATAGAACGGGTACCTCAAAGCAGCATGGAAGTTACTTCAACAGTCAATAACCTGTTTCAGTTGATGCAGCCTGATACAGGCACAAGTTTAAACAGGTTTACCTGGAAGGAAGAAAGCTCAGGTGTTTTTATGTCATTCCTGGCTGACCTTGATCTCATGAACACATTCATTTTGTTTTCTTGGCAACACTATGGAAACAGCCTTGTTCTTCTACCAGTGTTGTAGGCTGCACTGAAAAATTGAAAATCAACAAGCTGAAAGAAGCCAATAGCAAATCACTTCCAAATTATTGCCAAAGAAAAATACATCAGCCAGGGCAGTTGAACTCCACCCAATGAAACCTTTATCTTTATTTTCAGTAAAGTAACCCTTGGACCACAGCCTTAACCCCTTTCAGGCTGAATGCAAGAAGGGCATTTTTAGGGATGAAATGTGGATTCTCAGAAGCTGGCTTCACTATCCTTGTGCTGTTCATTCTCACTTGGCAGGTTTTATTGCCCACCCATAGTCCAGAACTCCATTGGCAGCACTGCCTTTTGCTTTATTCACATTCCTGTAACATAGCTATGTCAGGATATGTCATCCTCTTTTACAACTGGATGTGGCTCCCAGCATTCTGTTTCAAAAAAAGAAAAAGAACAGAGCTTCTAGCTATATTTCTGAATAAAAATAATTTTGCTGAACCAAAAGTACAAGAAACACTAGGCTGATAGAGATTTAAAATGCTTTTTTATCACAAAACCAAGATACTCCTGTGGTTTCCACACACATGGCAATTGTGACTAGTTAACGAACAAGGTCTCTGTTCTAAAAATCTGTGGAAGAATGGAGTAATGTCCACTTGCATGCAATTTGTGTGAACATCCTGTTTTAAACAGACCCTTGAAATGTCCTTTCATTGTTTTCCAGAAAGAAATCATGCTACATGCAAACCCAAAGCATCCAATGATTAAAATATAACATAGATCAACAAGAAAATTCATTTTTATTTCAATCAGCATTTCTTGGCATTAGGCAGATATTAAATAACACTGGAATGCACAAGACTATTAACAAAGATGGACAGCCACAAATTGGTAGAAGGATCATAGCAAATGCTTGTCAAATTACCTCACCTCACTCAAAAGCCTTTTAAAATGTTGTAGCCATAGTGAGTGGCCCTTCACTGTGAAACACAGAAGCAGAATGATTCCTCTTTAGTCTTCATTAAACACAGTAAACGCTGGAACAATCAACAGTAAAAATGGACAAAGTGTTGCAACCAGTAATTAAAACAGTGATATACCCACAAACAGCTAATCATGCAGTGCCTCAATGGCGGCTTTACTATGTATAAATACCATTATCTTTTTTAAAAAAAATAATAATCATGGACAACTAGAAGAAATGAAGGATGAAGTCTACTTGATATATTAAATATGATCTAAACATTAATGTTTAAATTCAAAAAATATTATATACACACACGCACACACACAGATGAATATGTATATATGTATGTGTGTGCATGTGTGTGCATGTGTATATTGGAAAGACTGTTATGCAAGTGCAAGCAATTTTCCTCACGGGAAAGAAACTGGAGTCGCGTTATTTATTTATTTTTTTAAAATCTGCTTAATTTATTCCACATTTCATAGCCATTTTCTGGGATATAAACTGCCTGTCATTTGCTGCTATTATAGCAGGCAAAAAGTACATACAGTATCTTTTCAGAGTTACTAAAGTCATCCATTTAGATTAACCAAGAGAGGTGCTATAACCCCTCTTCTGCATGTAAACATACCCTTCTGTTACATCCAATATGTACAGGGAGTCCTAACATGATGTGGAGTGGAAAAGAGAAATGGAATACTGGAAAGAGGAGTTGTATCACAGCTGATGAGAGGCTCTTTTTTCACTTGGATACAGAGACAATCCGGCAATGGAGTTTCATCCACTAACCACTGAGGAATGGTTAAAGGCATCCATTTACGAGCAAAGCTTGAACAAGCCAGTAATTTTCTTTGCAAACTGTCCAGAGTTTAATTAAAACTGACTTGCACTGCTTGGATCACACTGTAACAACCGCACGATTGAGGGATCACTCTTGGCACCTTTAATAAACTCTTCAAGAGACAGTTTACCTGGAAGGGAACAGAGAGAGACAAAATTATATACCCGTTTTGCCACATAGGCAAAATAAAACCAGCCTGTTCATTTCCAGTTGTGTAAAGGGAACTGCGTCCTAGATTTGACAGCGTGCCAGAAAAGGTGCCCATCCTCCGTATTCCAAAGAACCAAAGATGCTGTTCTTGGGGGGCTGCCTGAGGAAACTCTGATATAATGTAGACTTTCAAAATACAATCAGAATAAGAATCAGAAAAGATTCTCACATCCTGTTACAACTCCAAAGCACTCAAGATAAATGAAAAACATTGAATGAAAATGACATGAAAACACACATAACCTCAGTGGTGATACCGTTGCTTCCTTTTGTTGACATCTTGCTGAAGCGTGGATTTGAAAAGTGCCAGACAGCTGAATCTCAGGCAGATACATTTTTGAACCAAAGACAGTTTCTTCCCTGAACTAGATTATGACATTACAAACTAATGATTCCAGAGTATTTGAAATTAAGTAGACATTACAATTTGACTACTTTTAAGTGATTTGGTTTGTGAACCTGTCTGTCTGTATCAACATATTGTTCCTCATAAAACACTAGGTATGTATGGGACAAATGGCTTCTGTGGCTATTAAACCAGGGCAGGACTCTGTATTATGAAAAACATGAGAATGCCACTGAAAAAAAGGTATTTTTTAATCTTCATTCATTCTCAGGTAACATGCTGAATGAATTTTCCTTGACATGTTGTGAGTTTATTGACCAAGATTCCAAATTACTGGTACACAGTCCTTGGGTCCCGTTGGCAGGGCAGACGATGGCAAAAGATAAGAAGCCCCCCACCTTCTCTGTTAAATCATTTCTAGCTTCTGCCCTGAAGTATTATTCTTTCTCATTTCCTAATTTCTTAGACTGGCAAAGAGACAGGAGCAGAGCAATGTGATACATTTCTAGGATAAATTGGACAAGCACAATAAGCTTTTGCAAACATAGTTTTTTAGGAGACCATCTGTGCTTGAACAAATTCTCTAGAGACATAGCAGGGATGAAACGGTAACAATGGAAGGATACTATGTTCTGGGTTTCTGTTTTCCCATCACATTACGAGAAAATAATAATTTGCAGCAGACCTGGTAACTTTAATGGTTTAGACATATTTATCCTTTTATTTAAGTCCTCTCACAACTGAGTGAACTAGAAATAGGCAAGCTGTCTGATGCTTGCCCCAAATGCATTTGTGCTACCACATTTGCCTCAAAATAGATTCTAGTGTAAAATATAAATGCTCACAAAACCATCCAAAGAGCACAAATATCAATCACCTACTAGTTGACACCTCGGCTTCCTGGGCAATCTTCCCTCACTTCCCTTCCTTGGGGAGGGAGCAATAACGAGCAGAGGTCTTTGCTGAAGACCAGAGCCTCAGTAAATGACATTTATATCATTAGTTCCTGACAGGAAATTATAGGGACATAGTCCAGCTCATGATTTCTTGTACCCGCCCACTAAGAACAAATGCCTGCCTACATCATTGCTGCTGCACAGCTGAACCATGGGGACTCTTCAGTCTGCACTGAAATCCCCCACTAGCTGCTAAGTTGTCCTCCTCCCCAAGCTGACTCCGTCTTGTCCTTGAAGGAAGATAAGATGGAAGCAGAAATTTATAGTGGGGGTCTCTTTGAATGGGCTGCATCTTCCTTGATTCAGCTCAAATTAATCTGAGCAAAACTTACAGATGGCTGATCAAATTATCACCCCATACCCTAGATGCTACTATAGCTACATATTAAATCCTTCTGGAGTTAGGACATTCTGATATACCTCTCTTATGAAGAATACAAAAACACCTATGTTTTTATTTTTATATATTTATATATCAAATTTGTCACCATCCATCTTGTTAAAAAGCAACTCTGAGTGGTTTAGAGAAAAGATAAAATTAATTAAAAATACAATATAAAAGTAGTCCTGAATAAATAATAAATATATTCCAAGAATTTATGGTAACTGGTGAGTAGCTCGGGGAGCATCATCAGGGCGCCAGCCACCCTCCAGGATTGATTAAAATTCTTATTGCCCCACCAAGCTGGCAGAGCCAAGTCTTCTTTCTGGAAAGCCAGGAGAGTAGGGACCCACTACACCTCTGAGGGGAGAATATTCCAGAGGGTGGGGGTAACGACTGAGAAGGCTCTCCTCCTGGGCCCTGCCAGCCAACATTCTCTTGGTGACGGGGTCCATAACATGCCCTCTCTGCCTGACTGGGTGGGAGGGGTTGATGTGATGGGGGTGAGAGGCTCCCTCAGCTAGCCTGAACCCATGCCATGTATGGCTTCAAAGGTAATAACCAACACTTTGAACTGGACCCAGAAGCAGACTGGGACCCAATGCAGCTCGTGCAGTAAAGGTGTCATATGTGCCATCCTTGGGGCATCCAAGATAGTCCGCGTGGCTGCATTTTTCCTATTTCACTGCTATTTCTGTTTCAATCTCTATTAGAAGTGTTCATATTTTATTATGTCATTAGAGATCAAGTGCTTCACCAAAGTAAAAGCCAGTGTACTCTTCTCTTGTAATAATAATAGTAATAATTATTATTGTAGTAGTAGTAATAATAATAATTATTATTATTATTATAGCTGCCCATTCCAAAAGACTACATGGCTTACAACTTAAAACAATTAAAATCATAACAACAAAATGTAACTGCCCAGACACGAAAATAGCCATAACAGTCAATAGTACCCAATTCATGTTATTGGTGAATTATGTACAAACTGTAATAACACAAAAATGATGAAATGTGTCATGACATCATTAGTCAAACCTTGGCCTTTCATACTTATGACCTGGTGTTCAATACAAGTATGCAAGTCATGGGGTTTCCATTCTGACATCACAGTGCATGTTTTACCCCCTCTACCCCTCCAACAGGCACCTCTGATTCTTATTTAACTGTAGGAGTGATATGGTCATGTTAAGAGTCACAGAGAAGATGTTATAAGCTGATTGTGCACTACGGCAGGGAACCTGTTGCCCTACCAACAGCTCCCAGCATCTTTCATCATTTGTTAGTTGGACTAAGTTGCTAAATATTGAAGTTCGGACTTGAGGGTGATAAAGTCTCACCTTTGTTTCAGAGGTTATTGGACAACAATGTCCAATAGGTTGCTTTAGAGCACTCATTTCTGGTTATATTTTGAGATTTCGTTATCTTTTGAAACATCACTGGCCGAGGAACTAGTGTCCAAAAAACCCCACCCTCCCAGTTATACATATGGTACTTCTTTTTAATATATTTCCATGCAAATAGAGAAATGTCTAGCTAGTAGACAGTAATGAAGAAACATTTCTATCCTGGCCCATTACTAAACAACTGGAGAAACTTATTTCAACTGTAATGGCTCCATTAACTAATCTTAGCACTACAAAGAACCAACATTCCTTTTTCTTCTCTCTTAACCTTGATTGATCAAAGGTTCTGAAGCAAGATTCTGCTTCCAAAGGCAACCTCTACGGCATTTTCCTGTTGAAAAATATGGTAGATAAAAGAGAGACACAGTGAGAAAGAACCCACTGGGGAAGCGCTATCTCTGATTTTGATGATCTAGCTACAGGAACAGAGATAATGGTTGCCAATCTGAAGTAACATGGTGATCTACAACTTTAATTATTTCCTATAATTCAAATGAACTTTGTACCAAATCTGTGCAACTCATTTTTCCTATTTGTAGAGTTAAAAAAACTACAGCTAGAATGAACTATATAAATTAGAATAAACATAATACTTTTCAATAATTTATTTCAGTTGCAAAACACTTAGCTGCAAAGTTTTATATGGCTTGGCAGAGACTATGTCAGTAGAAAAGAAAAACAGAATGCAAGAGGATAAAGTTAGTCCTGGGGAAATATGTGTACATAGAGATAACTTTACAAACAAAAGTAGTTTTCAGTGGTCTTGTAGATGTGTGGATTTTTTTTTTTTAATGGAAAGGTAAGAGACTTTTTTTTAAAAAATGCAACAATTTCTGCCTTTGCAGATTTCTTGACTCTAGATCAAAGAGTTTTGAACAGATGCCCACTATCATTATCCTCATCCTGGGTAAGCACACCAGAAAGGTTTACTGCAGAAACCTACCATCATTATTGGTGTCCATCTGTCTGAAGATTTTATCTGTTCGTTTCTCTGGAGTTGATTCATCCTCTGGCATTTTCATGACTGAAGACACCATTTTGTAGATTGCCTTTATAGGGGATAGCAACATACAGGAAAGTAGGTTTAAATATTTCTTGGAAAGCCAAACTTAAAAAAAACAAAACAAAACAGGCCATTATAGTGAAATATATTAAATCATACAAAATAAGCAGTAAAGGAACCCTCAGCAAATTCTGCATTTTTAAAAGTTCCTGTGCTGTGATTAGCATCTAATAACTTCCCCATATTCGGCATGTATTGATTTATATCTGAAGTATTTACTTATTAAGTAGAACAGATATACACCCTTCTCTGGTATTCTGTAACCAAATTCTTTTCTCTCTTTCAAGCAGCTTCCATATCCTCTTTCCTTAGCCCACTTTCCATTCCATTCTGTTGGAAGATTAAACTAACTACCAATACTTTCTTTCCCTACAGTTATTCTACTTGCACTGTAGTATTTTTCACATCCTTCCATACCCAGTTTTCCTCAAGATCCATTCCTGACACTCCCAATAACAACCTGTCCCATATTCAGGACCCCTCATAACCCTTCAATCTAATTCTAATGTAAACTATCATCGGTCAAATCATTTGCACTTTTCTAATTCCCTTCTTTGCTACAACTACCCATGGAGAGACTTATGCTTCAGTCATGTATTTAAAAAGATTCTCACCAAAGCATCACCATTCTCATTCATTCTTGGGTTGCTGAATGCATCTATCACTTTTTTTATACTCTCTCGTCTCATTTCCTTCGTGCCATCTACCAGAATTTTTTTCCTTCTGGACTGCGTTCATTCAGAATGTTGCACTAGTTCCCGCAAAGCTCATCCTTGCCTTTTCTATTATTACCATTCACTGGAGTATAATTTGTTCAATCAAGACTTTCATTTAACATTTTTTAGTAAGAAAAGGGAGGAATAGACTAGGTTACCAGCCTTAGTTGTACCTGTGTCATATGCAGCATTTCCAGGTAATGCTAAGGACAGAAGTAATCAATTTTGGTATACTTTGGCCAGAATGCCAGAATACTATACAACCAAAGCCAGTTTTAACCCAAGAATACTCACATTACTGTATGCAAAGTAGGATCTGTAATCTAGTGACTACTTTGCAAGCCAACATACTGTTGCCTGCATCTCACCAACTTGGAGATATATGCAGTACACTGACACACTTAGAATGCTAAGAGGAACTTCGGCTGAAATATACTCCATAGTCAAGGTTATGTCTTCCCAAAATTGGTGCTTTCTAGATGTTCTGGAAGAGAATTTACAACTAGCATGGCCAATATATCTCAAGGGCACCAGGTTGGAAATGGCTGCTGTACTGCATTCATGTTAAATATGTAGTACGAACACTGGTTAACAGTTGAAAGAATTGGATTGCACTAGATCTTCTTAACATTTAACTAGATCCTTTAATATTTATTTACTTACCTGCACTATTTCAAGCATTTCAGCACGGCTAATGTAACCATTGCCATCAAGGTCATACATGCTAAATGCCCATTTCAACTTCTGTTCAAGCTTTCCTCGAGATGTAACACTTAGTGCAATTATAAATTCCCGGAAGTCTATTGTCCCATCACCATTGGTATCAAAAGTGCGGAACACGTGTTCTGCAAATTTTGAGGCATCACCATATGGGAAGAAGTTAGCATATATCTTTTTGAATTCATCAACAGTCAAATGGCCAGTTGGGCAATCTTTTAGGAAGCCTTTGTACCATTCTTGAAGCTCATGGTCTGTGAATTCAGTATTCTCTCGGAGATCCTGGAGCACTTCAGGTCTCAATTTACTGTTCTGTTTTCCCATTCTCTTCCTGGTTATTATCTAAGAGCTGCAAGCAACACAAAAAATTAGATCATTCTTCTCACAACTGAAATTAAAACACAGCTCTTTTAAGCATACACATTGTAGAAGGGATGAAATATACACCTTATATATTCTAGATCTTCAAGACTGATGCTTATTTTAAATAAATAGGATTGATAAATTATTTCTTCTGAGAGAATATTCAACACTTCCCTCCCCCATTTTTGTTGAAATGTATTGCTGTTGAGAAAGCTATTATAGGATATAAGAGAAAAGGAAGGTAATATGGATACTATGCAAGTGCTATTCTTGCTTTATCTGTATGCAATTTATAGTTTGTTTTTATAATGGTATCCAAAAGTGGTCTTCCACCAAATGATAGCACCCTTCCACTGCAAAGGGACTCTTGATCTAGTAGTTTTCAGCAATTAAGAGAAAAGGCAATTTTTACAAATCCACTGCAGCCTCTTTTGCATTGCCTAGTCATTAACAGAAATTTCCCTTTGTAAAAAAAAAAAAAAAAACCCAAAATCCCTTACTGCAAACACAAATTATAAATTCCATTTCAACCTTTTAGTGGAACAGCTATAAAGGCCATTACAGCCATTCTGTTGCCCCTCCACTGTCAAACACTCTGCGCGTATTATCATGATTATAATCCTTTTGAACAGTAATTCTTCATTTTTCTTCCTAAATGCAGTCTTTGTGCATGCCAAAAAAGTAAAAAAGAGAGTCTAAATGGAATTTGTACATTCTTGCTTTAATTAATTCTCATATTCCTTTCTAGTACAATATTTTTAGAGATGTTTAGTGCAGTTCTGCTGCCAAATTTGCCCATTTGCCACTATTACATATGAGCATAATATCCTAGAAGCTCTATTTCATTAGAACGTTTTTCCTGGACATAAGGCCCAAGACTGTCAATATACTGCGTTCCCCAGCTATTTCCAGAACCAAAATGCATACGTTGGTTATCTTCTCCATTTTAGCCAACAAGCTTCTTCCATGGTGTTCCAATTCATTACATTAAGATATTTATCAAATATCTTCAGTTGCTCACTCTTCTATTTTAGGTAATATATCCAATTTTCTAGCCAAAATATTTTAGAAATGCTTGGAAAGTTGATTCAGGAATTCCAAAACAAATAAGCAGGACGCAAGAAAAACAGGAAATAAAAGGAAACATGAAAAAGCCACCAAAAGGCCATCTCTATTTTTAGTAGGGCAACTCCCTCGTGTGCCTTGTTTCAAGCAGGTTGTCTTGGAAGATGCATTCATGAGCATAAAAGAGATTTGGATAACTAAATATATATTTCAAAACATCACAATATCATGCAATTAGGAAAATACAATAAAACAGCTTGAACAGTGAGTGATTGAACCTAGACTGTTTGAACTTACTAAAGAGTCCTACAGCATTTGTGGTCTTGACATAAGCATTTGCAGATAAAATTATATAAGCCTGAGAGCTGGTTCAGTCTTGGTGCATCGTTACTTTTACGTTCTTTTTAATAGTTTGGTTTTTGCCATGTGATAACTTTCCTAATGTCTCACCAAGCCATCTGTTACAGCTCCTGCTGTTGGAGCAAGACATCCTGATACAATGTGCTTGAGGATGGGAGGAAAGGAGTCTGACTGGAAAACAGCTGTCCTCCCAGAGTTCCTCTTGCCACATTTCTGAAACTAGGCAAGCACAGGGACACTGGTTTGCTGCTGCTGCTGCTGGGGGAGCAAGGAGCAGAGAAGGGGAAGGAAGATTCTTCCCTGCTGCTTGCCTCTCTGCCCCCACCCTGGCCAAGCACTTACTCTGCCTTCCCTGCCCCTTTGTCAGTGGTGTTGTGGTCAGCCTTATCAGGTAGACCAGACAGGAAACATGACCAGATAAGCTAATTCTACTTTATTGTAAAGCTACATTAACAGAATTTTGCAAGTCTGAAGGTACAATTCTCCCACCATCTCCTTTACATTACTGCCTGAGAAACCAGGGAGGGTCCCTTCTGAGCCTCTTGCCCCACCCACTATCCAGCTGCAGGCTGTGCTGTTTCTTACCTGACCACTCCCTAGGCAGCATCTCTTCGTCCCATCTCCCAGTGTCTTTCCCACATACCATTACAATTGTCCAGGGAAGAAGAAAAGAACAGGAAAGGTGGAGTATCTATGCTTGGCCAGGATGCAGGGAGAGAGGCAGGTAGGTAGGAGAGCAATGAGGCAGGGATGGCAGGTGAGGTAAGCAGTGGGAAGATCATCATGATGGAAGGAAGAGCAGGTTATGCAGGGCAACCTTGTGGAAGATGTTCCCTAAAGTCGATATTCCCAATCCTGCAAAAAAATTTGACTTGCCAGGAAAGTTCTGGTTACTCTGACAGCCAATAGACCATGGAGGTACAGAGCTCCATGGCTGCATAGAAGAGGGGCAATTGGAGCCCTGCAGGTCCCTGACTTCCTTCAGATCCCTCCTACATGTGACACAGAACATTCACATAGGGAAAATATTTTCCAGTTGGATCGCCTTGATTCACTTTTGGCATGTGTAATGAAATATGGGAATGACCTTAAGAGAAAGGAGGAAGAGCTGCAGACTAGGCAATGGTCAGATAAGAGACAGCTGAGTCTGCAGAAGCAATGGGGGCATGGCAAAGTCTCAGAAGGGACCCTCCCTAGTTTTTGGACTGTAAAGGCGAAGGGGGAGAGATGTACTTTCAAACTTGCAAGATTCTGGTGATGTACTCCTACAATAAAGTTAGAGCTAGAACTTCTAGGTGTGCTTCTTGTCTGGACTATCTCGCAAGGCTGACATGTCCTCAACAAACAATAAGCAGGCCACCTCAATATCAGGACAAGGAGGTGGTATAGATGTGCTCGCACATAAACATTATGTTCATATCAAGCCAGATATCCTGTAGAGACAGTGAAGGTGAACAAAATCACAGCATTAGATATATGCACATGGTATTCCATTCTGGATGCCAATCAAAAGATTTCAAGTCAACTCCTCCTGCAACAAGATTTGCAAATGCACAATATGGCCTGCAAGCCACAATAACAACACAACTGAATCTTGCCAGTGATTGGGAGTGGCACCCTTTGCAGAAGGATAACAAGCCATGGCAATTGTTCTGGCACCTAAACCCAGTGAGCAGAGGTAGTAAAATTACACCATTCCTTAAATACAAATCAGTCTTTATTTTTCTAAGTGTTGCCCAGAAGAGACTAAAATTTGCCAATGTGGGCTACCCAGCCTGACACTTAAGTCAGAGAAAAAGGAGCCCTTCCCGGGGGGGGGGGGGGGGGGGGGG